CTTCGTTTTCCTCCGGATCTTCCAGGCCACAGTCGGCACAGACGTTTTCATCTTCCAAGAATTCCTGCAGTGTCGATCCCGTAGCCGGTGCATCGGTTACTTCCACCCGAGGATGGCGCCTTTCGTCATATAATGCCCCGTCAGTCGCTTACCCCCCTGGATGGCTGCAACAGTACTTTCTTCGTCGGAGCTCGCTATTTCAGCGAGATCTTCGGCGCCCGATGTTACCAGTCCGTCGGGGAATTCCGTCTGGTGGAGAGCGGGAGCATCCATGTTCAGTAACGTTGCCGCTGATCGTAGTCAGCGATGCTCGTGCCCGTGCTCTGGTTGTCGGGAGGCGGGAAGTTAAACGGCACAATTTCTTGCGAAGCCGGACGATCAAGCAAACTGCCAAGCCATGAAACGAACGTGTCGAAACGTTCGTTATCAAAGCGGCGATGTAGTGCTCGAACCTAATTCAAGGCCATATTCAATGAGGCCCGCGGCGGTTGAGTCCCACGCTGTGGTGCATTCAAAGGAACAAATGAAATAGCGATTGCACCGTTGTTTCCTCGGGTCCAACGGGAGCAGACTGGCAGTTCGGTTGCTTCCACGTTGTGTTCCATGGCAAAATGTAGCATATGTCGCCAAGGGATTCCAAACGCAACAAATTTCTTGCATGTGCATGTTCGGGTTGCTTGGTGGACTGTCTTTTGTCTACTATCCCTCATTATCGTTATTTGTTCGTCACTGCTCACAACCATAATCGGATGGGTTGGGCACAAGGCGGATGCCATTTTGGAGACAGTGTACGGCATCAGTCGACGGCATAGGCTGTCCAGTTCAGGGTGCCCGACAATCCGGAAATCGCGACGAGATGCATCCGATATGGCTTTCTGACGGTTCCATATCAGGTACGTCGCGCTCGTCCGTGACACTCGTATGGCTTCCCAAAGTCCGTTTCGTCCGTTTAAAAGTTCCATCTTAAGGCATCTGTGCATGGCCTCCACTATGTTGGTGTCGTGGATGCCATAGGTTGCGGCCCGCGGCATTCTGCAGTTGGCCCATTTTGAAGCATTGGGTAAAAGGAAAGAATTCAAGTACGTGAAAAAAGAAGGATCATGCACACGGATTAGTTCTAGTGAGGCTAAATACCTCCAAAAGTCGGATGTATGAATGGCACTAAAAAACGTCTGAAGGAAGTAGAAAGAGGGAAACGCTTAACAACATTGCGTATTATATGCACCCTACATAATAAATGATGAGCAAGAGGGAATACGCTACTTATTGCGTTGGAAATGGCCAGTGCACCATCCGACATGATACACTTGACGTGAGAACCACCACCAACAAATTCTAGAAAAGTTAGCAGAAAGGTTCTCACGTCGTTCTCGGTCTCCCGCCATAGAAAACTGATGGCAACAGGGAGACTTTTGCGACGACCATCAGCGATAAGTAGCTGGTACAAGAAATATTTTTGTTGGTTAGTAGAAAAAGTACTATCTATTAAAAGGAACTCAGGCAACCTTTGGAAAAGTTCAAGCATTTCCGAAGTGGAATACACAAACAAAGAAACCCGGTTACTGTCATCCCGCAAACAGCGGGCTCGTCCTTGTCCATTGTATTGGGTCTCCACATTCCAACATTGGTCGGATTATTTCCAGTTCTTCTGCATTGAGTCGACGGTTTCGGTTAAACCACTTGGATGCTTCGGCACCCATCAGTTCGTGGTTGTGGATCATACGGAATCGGGTAATCCTTAAATAGTTACCCAGTCTTCCGACGTTGAAATGTGCCTCACACTGCGTGTGCTCAAGCAGTCGATGTCGTTTTCCATCGTTCGGATGACGTTCGAATCCTTTCCAGTAGCATTGGTACTTTATGAGCCTTTTCTCACCGGATGAATTTGCTTTCGAGGTTCGTACGCAGTTGTGCAGTTGAGGAAGCCATGACGAGTGTGCTTCACAAGCGTAAGCAATTAGTTATATAGGTCATGGCTACCGATGAAAATCAGCAATCAGCCGATATCTTTGATGATGTGTAAAATTAAACGAGAAAAAACATCAGACAAAAATGGCAAAAATGAGTACCCAAAAGGCTGTGGTTATAGAGATATTCGATGACAGAAATCTCATCCTGGAGGATAAACCAGACCAACAACATCCAGACTAAATAACTTTTTATTTCATTCTCTCGAGGGACGAAAATCCCCGCGCAAACGAAAGGCTGTTCTTAGAAAGGATGACGCAAGAAGCAGACAAGCAGGCCGCAGAGACTCCCTCCAAACCTTGGACTCAAACCCGGCAGGCAGCTATTAAATCTGCTAACCTCCTGCTGCACACCTCTTGGCTCCCCACCTTCGGATCCAGTAGAGATAGTGCTGAAGTGCTTATCCACAAATCACGACAAGGTTTTCGTCAGCAGCTACTTGATTACCAGGGTTCTGAAGGCTTTCCAGCATGAATATCGTTATCTCGTCGATCAAAAAATGAGAATAGAGAGTGGGAATCTCTATCGGACACCGCTTTGTGTAGCTTTTGAAGGGTTCTCCGATGCGCCAAACATCCGTTTATCTGTACCTAGTTTATTCACGAACTTTCAGGACGTTCGTTGCTAGGCCAGTGAAGGTGAGCAGACCAGTAAACTTAGCCAAATAAATACCCTTAGCCGTAATACCCTTTCGATACCTGATTGTCCTGCTACCTGAATGAAGTACGACGGGTGAGATACTGCCAGGTTGCCAAAGTCCAGACAGGAGCGTTCGAAATGCCGGGTTAGGTCCGAATAACGAATCTGGTTAGTGAGTTTAGGCCTCGATCACCGAGCTATTTCTGGCTTAAGTTTTCTGGGAAGTCCAGGATTGTCGAACTGAAGAGCCGCATACATGTTCGGCGGTGTTCTAATACCCGAAGAAGTATGAGGACTTAGTCAGCACAACCCTTACCAGGCCGGAGCGAGATGGCTCAGTGGATAGAGCCGAAAAGTCTGTGATTCGAACCCCACCTCTGTAACTCGACTCCTTTCAAGCCTTGGTACCCTGGCAGTATCGCAGCACTCTGGTGATATGGCAGCTAGGCTCTGAAAGGATGTTACAGCTGAACGATTTTACCATGCCGGAATCCCGCTTGCTGCTCGAACCAGCGCCGCGGTATGACGGTTTGTATGCCTTCCTATCTATTGAGATATACTGGGTGGTGTCCTTGTGGCACACACGGAGTCTCTCACAACAGGTTGGTCGATGGTTAGAGTTCTGGTCAACACATTCTCCTGGCCCTCCAGTTCAGGGGTTAGAATATGTTTGGGGACTTGCTCTATGAAAAATGATGATGCACTTTCGCCGCGCACTGCTGTCCTGCAATCAGGATCTTGAGCCCAAAGTTTCGGTCGAAACCCCTAATCGTCCTCCTGTCTAGATGTGGGCGCCCTCCCCACCCAAAGCTTTCACCTTGTCGTGGTGGTTGGGCTTCTGTGTTGCAATGATCCTGCGGGATATAGTGTCTGGAACTCAGTCCCTAAAGGTTTAATCATGCCAGGAAGGTTAACGTGCACCAGCCCAACGATGAACATCGAGGCCCCGTGTAATCGTATTACGAGGCGGTTTGGAGGTGAAGTCATACTGTCCTCTGTGATAGAAGTGTGGAGGCAGCAAGACGTTTCCCCCAGGCGACCAGCATGTCCATATTTATGGAAGCAGCCATGATGCCTTCCCCCGAGGAAGGACAGGTTGGAAAAGGTCGGTCCGATAAAACCGCACACTCCGATCGCCCAACGGTTGACCATCACCACCGGCACATTATTCAATACGGTCGAAATACTTTTAAAGCCAAAGGGCCCAGTACTGCTCAAAAGGCACTTCCTGTGTTCATCTGCACTAGGAGTTCCCACTTGCGCATTCATATCTCCGGCAACCACCACAATGTCTGAGCTTTTAGCTCGCCGCAGCAGGGCATTCAGGGTGTCGTAAGACCTGTCTTTGACGGCGTCAGAGCTACAGTCAGTTGGGGCATAGGCAGATGTGATAAGCAGACACCTATCAACTTGCCGCTTGTGAGACTCCTTCACAGACGTTGCCAAACGAACCGCACAGAGGCGATTATCAACAGGTATCCAGTTAAGTAAGGATACTTCCGCCCGGTGACTTAGCACAATACCAACCCCTGCACATCCCACCGCAGCAGCCTCCGGATCACCAGAGATGTGCAGACGGAAGCGAGTGGAGACTGACGGGGCGGTTAACTCAATCACTGTGCTTGCATCTTGAATTCTCGTTTCTGCGACACAGCACACATCAATGCCATGGGAGTCCAGTGACTCACAGGTGGTTTCCGGGGACCGGTCGCACGGATCAACTGAAATAATCTCCGGGCATTACCGGCTTTCTGTATGCAGCAAGTAAGGCGACCCGGCTGATGGCACCACGCGACGGCCGATGGGGCATGAAAATATTGTTAGTTGTGTAGGGCATGGTTGTACGAGGGCTGGGATACTGCCAGGGCGCCCACACCTAGACAGGAGGACGATTAGGGTCCTCAACCAAAGCCTTTGGCTCAAAAGCCTAACCGCAAGGCAGCGGTGTTTGGCGGGAAATGCAAATGCATTACCATTTCTACGGGACAAGTCGCCACATGTTCCAACCCCCAACCTGGAGGGCCAGGAGACTGTGTTCGTCAGACCTCTCACCATTGACCAACCTGGTATGAGAGACTATGAGTGTCGCGGGACACTCTCCAGTATAGCTCAATGGATCGGGTTGGTTCGCAAACCGTCACACCACGGTAAGGTCCAGTCTCTTCGCAACGGCGAAAAAGACGACTTTTTACCGATATCCGTCACGACAGCTTCAGTCAGCAAGGACGGATATAGTAATTTTGGCAGGTGATGTTAATGACCAAGTTGGACGACTAAGTCCGAAGAAGCAAAACTAGGCGATTGATTTGGAGTTGATATTCAGCGTACGGAGGATGGAAGCGACTGTCTCAGTTGTGTACAGACATCGTCTGTTCCTGGCCGGTACGAACTTCGAACAAAAACGCTCACATCGAGTTACTCGGGGGCCACCTACAACAAGACAGTTGGATCATATGGCTATCAGTTATCGATGGAGAGCCTCAGTTAGCGATTGTCGTTCCTTCTGAGGTACGCGAATTGACTCTGATCGCGCCATCGTGCGGGCCTGCTTAGCAATTCGATTTCTGCCAGCACTATGTGTGCCGAAAGAGAGGAACTCCGCCCCTCAATCGCCATCTTCAGCGGTGGACTGAGCACTTACAAGAACAGTTCACCTGGTCTCCTTCAACACAACTGCCAGAAGAGCCAAGCGGGCCTGAATGGAACATTGACACCAAGCCACCAACAACAACCGGAACATTAACAACGGAATTCCAGGGTGGGACATTGCGGCCAAGACCGGTGCAGGACGAAT